GGTATGGCCCAGCGTCGAAGAGGCCAACCGACTTGCCCCTGCGCACGCACGTGTCGACAAGTCTCTCATTATGATCACCTCAGCAGATCGTCCCCTTATCCGTGCGGGCAAGGGAACAATCCAACGGAACGCCAGCTTAGCTCAATATGCAGAGGAGATTGAGAGACAGTATGCCAGTGCAGACTTGGGCTTGGATGATGATCCAGGCCAAGCACCTTTCGATACAACCAATCCCAGGGCTGTATTGATCTTCGTCCGAAACAGCATCCGCGCCGTCACGGGTTGGAAGTACGTGCGCGACTCGGACAACTTTTTCGAGCGCGGCATGGACTCGCTTCAGGCGCTGCAACTCACACGTACTCTGAAACGCGGGCTCTACCGTCCCAACCTTGCCCTGCCTACCATCTACAACAACCCCTCGATCTTGCAGCTGATGACGGCGATCAAGACCGAGGATGACGGGGCGAACGAGAACGAGATGATGGGGCCCCTGCTGGACACCTATCGCGAGCTAGTCCACAACATCCCAGTACCTAAGCTCATAACCCCCAACACAGATGCAAAGACCGATGTCATACTCACCGGCTCAACCGGCGCCCTGGGCACCTTCATGCTGCAGTCATTGCTGAGCCGCCCGGACATCGGCCACGTCTTCTGCCTGAACCGGGCCAAGGACGGCGGCCGCACCGCGCAGGATGACCGCTTCGCCGCGGCCGGGTTCCCAACCGACAAATTCAGCGACCGGGTCACCTTCCTGCAGGCCGACTACGCGCGGCCCATGCTGGGGCTCTACGAGGCGGCGTACCAGGAGCTGACCTCGCGCGTGGGGCTCATCATCCACAACGCGTGGTCGGTGAACTTCAACCTGGGGCTCCCCGCCTTTCGGCCGCAGCTCGCCGGGCTGGTGAACCTATTCGCGCTGGCGGCGGCGGCGGCACCGCGCACCGTGCGCGTGGTGTTCATCTCGTCGGTGGGCGCGGTGGGCGGGCGCCCCGCGACGGCGGGCCCGGCCCCCGAGACGGTGCTCGACTCCTTCGACATGCGCTACTCGAACGGGTACGCGCGCAGCAAGTTCCTGTCGGAGCACCTCTGCGACGAGGCGGCGCGGCACCTGGGCGTCCCCGTGGCGGTCGCGCGCGTGGGCCAGGTCGCGGGCCCCGTGTCCCAGCCGGGCCTGTGGAACCGCTCCGAGTGGCTGCCCAGCCTGGTCATCAGCTCGCTGCACCTCGGCTGCCTGCCCGAGCACCTGGGCCCGCAGTTCTCCGAGATCGACTGGGTGCCCTCGGACATGCTGGCCGACGTGGTCGTGGACCTGGCGACGCAGCCGCCGCCGCCGAGCCAGAAGGAGGGCACCGAGGTGTACAACCTGCGCAACCCCAACACCACGACGTGGGAGGCGCTCGTCCCTGCCGTCACGGAGACGGCGCAGGAGCGCCTCGGCCGCAAGCTCGAGATCGTGCCGCCGTCCGTGTGGCTCAATCGCCTGCAGGAGAGCATCGCGGCTGCGTCTGAGGGCGATGCGCGGGACCTCACCACCGCGGCGAACGATAACCCGGCTATCAAGCTGCTCGAGTTCTACCGCGACGGCCTCTGGGCCAGCGGTGGCACCTCCCAGCTCATGGCCGTCGAGCGCGCGCTCGCCAGCCCTACGATGAAGGTCATGCCCGCCGTCGGGCTCGACTGGACGCGCAAATGGGTCGAAGAGTGGATCGCAGCGCAGACGCCGCGGTCGAACGGCGCAGTTGCCAGCAGGGCTTAAAGATAGAGGGTGCTCATAAATAGGTTACCTAAAATAGATTATATAACTTCGGTTATTGATGACCTGGATATTGTTGGTATATGTATGCAGATTGTGTTATGGTATGGGTCTGTACGGTTTCTCATGTGTAAACGAAGAAAGGAACATAAATGTCCATGTCTCAAATGCTAGGCTTGGCTAGACATAGGATTCGGTTAAACGAGTTATTTACATGTGCGATGGCCATGAAAGGTTAGGGGGCCACAAGACAACGCTTCCTAAATAAATATATACGATAAATAGGAGCTCCTGTATACTCTTTTATATTGTCCCACTTTTTGTGTTTTAAGAGGTAATTAAGTGCTTATTTCTTACAGTAACACGATGATTTTTAGTTGTTCGATACCACTCCTCCACCTATAGGTATTTACTTGCACACGCACTTACACTAGTAAACACAAGTAAATAAAGACGTTGAAAAAAGGTGATTACTATCTGCAGCCACAAAACCTGTCCTGTCTCTTGGCCTGTCTTCACACTTGGGGAAGACATTCAAACGAACCAACCGGGGAACTACTCACAATCCTACGCGGGGGCTAGCTACAATACAGTAAGATACCAAAAAACACTTATTACTTACCACCTACATGCCACTTATATAATCAAAGAATAAATAGTTTAATTTATACCAAAAATAAAAATAAAAATTCATACAATAAACAAGAATAGCAAAAAAAAGTAATTTGAATAAAAAAAAAATACTAGGAAAAAGCAAAAGAAAAAGGAGGGGCTTGGCCGGGGATCGAACCCGGGACCTCTTGCAGCTTGTAAGATACCAAATCTTTACCCTAAGCAAGAATCATACCACTAGACCACCAAGCCAGATGGAGATTGAAACCACTGGAGCAATCCACTGGGTCAATGTTGAAATTTTATCCTCTTATTGCTGTATATATTGGATCCCATAGTCTCTTTAAAAATATGACTGGTTAGGAGCGGGGCAGCGGGGTAGGTCGCTCTTAGCTAAGGGCGTGGGGGGCTTCGGTTAGCAAGGTGAACTGGCTGACTGGTAGACTACTAGGTGGGGTCGTTCACTGATAGATAGACCCTGGAATCAACTAAACTAAACTGAACAGAACTGAGATAAACCCTTGACCAATAGACACGACCTTACATGAAGTTGCAGAGTGGATAATCTATACTCACGCATTAGAATATAGGACCTAGGCTACCTATTAATATGTATGTACTATATAAACTGGGATATTCATGCACTCAAGGATACATAAGGATACATACATACCATGCGTACATATATTCATACGTAACATAGCATACGTAGGTAGTCTAGCGTGTGAATGTGCGCATGCATATATATGTATGTACGTACGTATGTATGTGTGTATTCAATATTGTACGAGGTTGACCACCCCGGCTTCATGGACTATACCATTACAACTTTCATACAGAATGGGCTTCGTCCGGGAACCCCGAGAAAGCCGGCTCCGATGCAGTTGGTATGTAAGTGTGCCTTAGACGTAACCTGGTTTTTTCTGCACGCTCCACTGCCAACATCACGTCTACTGGGTTCATATTTATGCCGATCCCAGGCCTACTTCAGATAAGTATACATATTACATAACAAAAGAGAGAGGTAGAGAGGAAATATTCGCCCGCTGGTTGAACTCTGAGTCGGCAAATGATAGGAAAGATTGGTGTCGTGGGCAAGGCAGTCTCCCGGACTGCCTATATTCGAAGCTGGGGGGTTGCGTGATAGGATTATTCCATGTTAACTTTAAGTTTGTAAAGTAGTAGACCTATCAATGTGTTGATCTATGAAGGACATATATCAGCCAGAGACACCAACACATGAAAAAGTCTTCAGAGTTGTAGCTTATTGGCCAACTCTGCCTAGACGTAAATTGTAAAGATGTTGAGACCGGTGGACACTCGGCAATGGGACTGTGTCGACCCCATCCATTTTACCAACCCAACTGCATGGGTAATGTACCAAAAAGATCGATGCTCAACCAATTGGTAACTTGTTATTATAAGTCACACTATAAGCGAGCATAGCTTTATGGAGTAATTAAGGCGCATTGCTTAGGTCAGCGTATAAAATGTGATGAAAGACAGACTGGATGGATATGCGGCTCTGATAATATGAAAAAAAGAGATAACCATCATCTGTTAACTGGCTGTCTAATTCTAGATTCATAATTAAATAGTAAAAAAAATGTAGTCTTTTTCTTCTTCTTGGAGGTGTTTGAACTAAATTTTACATGCAAGCAGCAATAAATTTCTAATATATGTAGATATTTGTTAGGACTATCTCCTATTTAGCTCGTGTTTGACTGGCTTGAGGCTTTGTGATGGTCCATGTCCTTCTTCGAATGGAAGCGATATCATAATTGCCACTATGTGAACTGAAGCTCAAAACAAACCATATGTAATAGGATTTGAATGGAATTTCTCTAGTTGACAAATATCCTCGCACACTATGTTCCATCTTCTAATGAGAGCTTGAATATTTCTTTTGCGTTGTCGACTGCGACTGAAGTAAAGAACATAGAACCATTATCGTACTTGATCCCATGATTAAATAAAATCGTGCAGCACGCTGATATTCCGATATCTCATATAATTTATGTCAAGAGACACTCATGGCCTTTTTTCTCTGCTAGGAGTACCAATATTAAATCAATACATCATTTTGAGGTTGCTTCCTCCTATGGGAAAATGACGTAGGAAGTAAGAGGTAGCGCGTTGATTTGTAGATCTGATGTAAATATATCATGGCAGACATCTAACCGTAGAAGATATCAGGAGCAGAATGCTAGATCACAAGATACATGGCAGTATGTACCACGTAAGGGAAATAAAGGGAGTGTACAATGTATGAGTAAGTGCGTTAGAGGTAGTTGTAGTACTAGTCTCCTGCACAGCAACGCCATAAATACCTAAGCTTAAGCTAGAGCCCCGTGATAGAGGGAGGGCAGATGGCATTGTATTCTAGAAGAAGGGCTAGGTACCTAGGTATTTGTGGGCAAAGAGTTGTAGTGGGCTAGATCAAGAGGTACGAACGGTATGTACTTTGCAGGGGAGGAAGAAGCAATGTTTAAGGTACCTATTATTCTTGCCTCCTATCTGGAAGTAGCCACTTTGGTGAAGGTACTTCCTATAGATACTGCTAATAGTGGTGGCAGTTCCAAGAGGGGGAGGCAGAAATAGCTTAACAATACCATGGGTCAGTAACAATAAAGGGAGCGTAGCTCAATGGGTAAGAGCACTGCCGTGACATCTACTCTCTATGATGGGGGCTATCCTACTTGGACCCCCAGCACAGGGCTATCCCACTGGGACCCTGGGCAAAGGGAACGGAATGCTTTAGACAGAGGTTTCAGGTTCAAGTCCTGACACTCCCATTCACTTTTTTAATTCCTCTCCTTTCTCGATTTCTTTTTGCTTCTACATATGAATCTGACTAGATATCTTTAATGTACCCATGGAATCTAATATTCATTTTTCTACATCAGGTATTTAAGTTTAACCAACTATTCAGGTCATGCAAAGAGGGAAGGAGAAGGAGAAGAAAGTACAAGCATAAGTACATCGTGACACATTGTCACCGCATGGAAACGAGCTACTCAGGGGCGACAACATGAAAAGACAGAGGCCCCACTATTAAAGGTAAGAAAGAGTCGTGAAGGCTCAAAGGTGTCGAGGGAGAGGTCCTCAGAAATTATTCTTAGTACAGTAGTAACCACTTATTTCTTTTATCCTCCCCAAGCCAATGTGTCACATCTGCCAATTTAACCAAGTTCACTTAGCCCCTTTTCTCTATTACCCCTATCATTCCTCCTCTAACTGCTTTAATATCTCTTCACCAATAGGTATATAATAATATCAAGCTAGTCAGTAATATCTCTAAAGGATTCCCAAGACATCCCAGCGCCCAGCAAGATGGGCCTGTCGGTCCTCAGACCCCTTGGGGGTTTGGGGGGTATCACTAATAGGGAAACATTCTTACCAGGCTCTTGAGTAGAAAAGAAGGACACCGGTGCGGAACTGCCCTCGTTACTATCCTGGACTGACAATATTAGGATCTCGGTTCGCGCAGTACGTCTTCGCGGTACTACTAGAACATCTAGAGAGTGAAATGTCTGCTTATGATGGCTATTTTTGTATCGGAGTAAGGGGTGGATATGAGAGATATAGTATCTAGGAGTTGGATTAAATGATGTTTTGTGGTTTTTTATGTTGAAGGAGCTAGGGGCTCAGAAGTTGCAGTGAGATCGTTTGGGATACCGACGGAGATTTGAGAACGAGAAATGTGGTTTGTAGATGGCACTATTGATACACGGAAGTCTGACGATATCCTTACTTTTCCTCAACTACAAATATATTATTGACTTCATGTTGGAATTCTTAATACCGAGGACACCAGAACTTATAGTCTCTTTATCTAATGCCGCAAGATTGACGTGATGACTCTATTATCGTTTTTAGAACTGCCTATCGTTGGTGTTAGGCATTTCTAATACATACCTATAATATATCGCTTTTATATACGGCGTTGGTATGGTAGCACATAAGAACATAAGAGAGAGAGATTGTATTCTTCAACTATGGACTTATCTCCACAGTTGTAATACTTGCTAGCCTAAAAGCGGGACGTAAGGTTCTGAGGCATGTATTACGGCGGATGTCTTACTGCTATCTTAGTTCGATAGATTCTTAGGTGCCTAAGTTATAAAAACGACCAGAACAACGAGAAGTGGACATGTTAGAAGGATCAATATGAGCTAGCAGTATTTACTAGAGAAGCGAAGAGCTCATACGTATATCATATATGGTCACGGGAGTAGTAATAAAGACGATGTAATTGCCACAGAGAAAAGAAAAAGGTCTTATTACTTCTTATACCCAGATAGGGGAGAAAAAAAGAAAACTCTAGTTTGCCGTGAAAACTATCCGCAACCGCCTTCTCCAAGCCACTCGTGAAATGCGTCAGAGGGTCTCTAACCCACCCTCCCTCCAGAAATCCTCCTGCAAACCGAGAAAGCATGAGATTCCTCTGCTCCCCATCCCTCCCTCATCTAACCCAGGCAAAATGAGAAACGTCGCACGGGAAAAAGAAAAGAAAGCCCAGCGACTCGTAACACAACGCCAAAGAGACAAACCCCAGAGAAAAGCCCAGGGCACAGAAACCATCCTCCCCAGAACCACCACACCCGAGAAACCTAACCTCGGGCCAAGCCCTCTCTCACCCACCACCACATCATCCAGCACCTGGGCACCTAGGCCCCTCCCATCCGCAGCCAGAGCGAAACCACGGCGTAGCAACATCCAGCCAAGCCGCTAGGGCTGGCACGGGTCGGGCAGGTAGCGGACGTAGTACGGGCCCTGCTCGAACAGGATGTCGAAGACGGGGGCGGCGAGCTCGGGCACGGAGCAGAACTCCCACCACCAGCGCTCGCGGCCGTCGTGCTGCACGTCGATGCGGCCGACGCGCACGACGTCGAAGGGGGTGGCGTCGGGACCGAGGCGCTGGCGCAGGGCGGCCGCGAGCCGCGGCCCCAGCACGGCCGGGTCTGCGTCCTCCGGCCAGGCGGTCACCTCGACGACGCGCGAGCGCACGGCGGGCTCGCGCCGGTAGGTCGGCCGCGCGTTGTCGAAGTGCACCGAGGGGGTGCGCGTCTCCTCGCTGTCGTCGCCGCCGAGGAGGCGCGAGCGCTTGGTGGTTATGTGGAGGGTTTTGGTGTAGCACTGGAGGGGAGAGGAGAGAGGAGTTAGTAAATTGTGCAGATTGTTTTGGGGGGTTTTTTTTTTGGAAAGGAAAAAGTGGTAATTGGGAAGAGGAGGAAGGCAGAGGAAGAGAGGAAGAAAATAAAATGGAGGAATTTGAAAAGGAAAATCTAGAGGCCTCGAAGTGTCTCGCCCGGTTAGGATAGGACAGTTTGTCTACTTCTGTGCTCGAGACCGGTAGGAAAATGAGGAGGAAGCGAAGCGAAGGGAATGAGGGAAGGGTTAAGCAGGTAAACAGAAGGCAGTTCTCGCAGTTAGTAGTCAAGATCAGGCAATTAATTAATTTACTTACCGCGGCTGCACCCGCTGGCGTCCAGAACTCAATTCTGGCGAAGTTGGCCGAGTCGCGGCCGCTCGTGCCCGGCCGGCGGAGGCTCAGCACCGAGTTCCACACCTTGCCCGTGTTCTCGAGGGCGTCGAAGATGTTCTTCATCTTCGTGAAGGACGAGAGCCCGAAGATGTTGATGGCGCAGTTCCCCCGAGAGGGAACGCTGATGCGGGGCGGGGGTCGGGGGCCGACGACGGGGTGTTGCTGTTGCTGTTGCGGCTGCGGCGGTGGTGGTGGTGGCAATAGAGTGGGTTCGATGACCCAGGCTGGTGCTGGGCCATCTCCCCCCTTTCTCTCTCTTTCGTTGTTGGGCTGCAGCTGTTGCTGCTGCTGCTGCTGCCGCTGCTGCTCTTTTTCCTGGTCATACAGGCGTAGCAGCATCTGGATCTGGGCATCTGGACTCTGGGTTCCTGAAGAAGGGCCGGGAGCAGCGCGACGGTTTCCCAGAGTGGGGGTAGGGGGAATGGAAAAAGATTCCGAATTCCAGTTGTCATTGAAGTGGGAAAGTGAAGTAGGAGGGGAAGTTTGAGCAGCAGCAGAAGCAGCAGCAGCAGGAAAATAAGTAGTGCTAGTGCTCGTGGATGGTCCTGATCTATGATCCCCAATAATTCCGTGTCTACGATCTCCAATAGGTCCGGGGGCTGGTCTGGAACGTCGACCGGGGAAGAAGAAATCTTCCACGTTACGCGCAGGTGTCGAGAGCTAAAAGTAGGAATCATCGATTAGCAAACAGAGTGTTTCCTCGACGAGATAAGAAATAGGGGATAACCAATAACAAAGCACATCTAGAAAGGTTATCTGCGACGATGTGCCACGAAAAGGGGGATTAGGTATAAAGGGGAAATATAATTCGAACTAGTAAGAGATAAAAGAGGAATAGGAGTGCTGCTGAGTGGAGCTTCGAATAGGTAGTGATTAACTTCTTGACGCAATACAGACAGTACTTAATACATACCACAGCCTGAGAAGAGGAGGCTTGAGTCACATTTGTGTATCTGCCAGGTACATTCTATTCAGAAAAGGTTAGCATAGGTTCTTTTATCTATCAAAGAGCCGTTGAAGGTAGATAGAAAGGGATGATGGCAAGGGTCCTTCAAGTGAATGACATCACACCATTCAACGCTGTAGTCAAAAACGAGAGACTGGAAGGAAAGAAATTCAAGTATCAGCAAGACAAGTATGTACTTACTAGGCGGTTCATCATGACTAGAAATTGTTCGTCCGTCTTCGAAACACAAACCGTTAGCATACTATAATCAGGAGCGCGCCATTGTGCTAGAGTAGAGAGAATCTTTGTAGATTTACAACGCGTAGAGGTTGAGGAAATAGAGAAAGAGGAGCAAGGACTATACTTACCGGTCGCGTGCCCTCGTTGCGAGTAGCAGAAGCAGAACTGCCTGGGATTGGGATCAAAGGAACTGCTACAGCACGCGCTGCTTCGGTCGCAGAAAGCTGTCTGGGTTGCGACGAGCTAGAATTGTCGCCAGTGGTACTTGGTTGAGTAGAACCGCCAGCAACGGTATCGCGAGCCTCATCGCTACGAGCTGTAATGGAAAAATCATTAGATTATCAAAAGGGAATGGTACTGGATGGGAGACCCCATGCTTGGGTAATAGGGTGATGACTTACTGCGATCAGGACCTTTGTCGGACATGATGATGATGATGGTAATAGTGACGGCTCAGAATCAGCTGGAAGAAAACAAACGAGAAGAGAGGCCGTAAAATGGATACTATTCTTCGTAGGCTGAAGCGAAAGGCTGCAGTAAAGAGAAAATCTAGAGAAACCTGATGTTGAAAATAGAAGAGAACGTTGGTGTATCGAGCACGTGCGTCAGTTGCATGCGTAGTAGAACAACCTCGGGGATAGAGACTACTATGGACTCTGGAGTAAGGACAAAAAGAAAGTTAGTAGCATGGCCAACCGGGAATTTATTTCTACCTAGGAATGCGTACCAGGCGAAGTACTCGATGGACCAAGAGACAAGCAATACGAGAAGACGAAACGGTACGGTAACCCGCAGTCAGTTGGGGGTAGGTATGCGGTAGCTGGTAAATATTTTGCACAAGTAGCACACGCAAGAGAAATCTCGAAGGGTCGTCCGAAATCGAAAAGATCTGAAGGAGAAAAAATTGTTAGGAGAAATGATGATGATAGTGAAGATGAAGAAGAAGGAGAAGAAGATGATGACGATGAGAAAAAAAAGAATACTCGAGAGATGACTTACCAGATGGACGGAGTTGGTGTGTTGTTGTTTTTAATGAAAAGATCTTCTGCGTGTACGAAAGA